GATGATACCGAACTCCAAGAATAACTTCTCCAAGAGCTTGAATTCCTCAAGGCCTCCACCAGCGCCGCCTTCACGCACCGGACGAACCCCGTTCATATGCACATCAACGCCATCCATGTCCATCTTACGCGAGGAGCGGCGAAAATCGCGCTTGACCTTAGCGAAATAACTATGCAGCCGGTTGAGGGTGCGGAACCAACCCCGCGCCATCTTCAGACGCAGCCGCATATCGCGCAGGATGTCAAGGGCCTTACGGGCTTGTGCCTGGCCTTGAGTGTTACGGTCTCTTGGAGCTAAAGCGGCATCCGGATCCATGTGGGGGAAATGGGCCGCATACACGCCGATGAAAGCGGCGTTATAGACAGCAAACCCGACGAGAGGGTTCTCGACCAGGACGCCGCGGTCTTGGCAGGTGACCGCCAGATCAATCATCTGCCGGGCGGCATTGAAGAGCTCCCGAGCGCTCTCACGCCAGAAAGCCTCTGCCACACCGGGCTTCTCGACGGGGAACAGCGGTTCGTCCAAGGGCCCAGCCGGCTCCGAGCATCGTACGGGCAGGAATGGGATATACGCACGATGAAGGACAATGACCGACAGGAAATAGACCACATGCATCACCGTATACGGGGAGAGCGTGTTCTTATACATGATATGCGTATCCGTGTTCCGTGGAGAGTACTGCAAGTTGCGCGAGAGGCTATCCTGGAACTCGCCCAGCATCGCTCGAAGCTGCGAGAAACGCGAGTCTGGGTGCCATGGGGGCAACTGTTCGTTTCTGTGGCTGGGGTTAGACTTTCGATGTGGACAATCGTTTAAAGCGGCAGCTTACCTTCTTCCCCCAGCGCAAGACCACTTGGCAATACTTCCCCAGATGCGGATGATACGAATCACCCGACTGAGCACGGATTCCTCGGCACCAACCTCCCATCGATCAATTTCATCCTCACTGGAATCCTTACGTCGCGAGACAGGCGACCACGAAGACTTGGGATCGGGAGCACCATTACTCGGTAACCGGTCGTCACCGAGAGCACCCAGACTTTGCCGGATGCTCGGAATCTGAACGCCCTGGGAGCCGAACGATTGCGGGCGGCGGGCAGCCGGCTCACTGAGACGGGACGTGCGGACCCGTTCTCCAAACGCAAAGGCGTTATCGCTGGGAAGTTGGATACCCAGCTCCTTAACACGGATCATACGCGGTCGATATTTGCCGCTGCTTAAGCAACGGTCCAGAATGAAGCATGCCCAGAAGGTGCGACGCTTCGTCTCTAGCGCGATAATATCATCCGAGGTCTGTTCTCTGGGCTCCACCGGCCGACGGGATAGACCGAACATCTCGGCCTCCGTCTTCAGTACGGGCGACCGGGGCCCGTCGCGAGACGCCAGCTCATTCTCCAGCTCGAAGGGAAGACCCATGGCTTGGGAGAGACGGATGGCCATTCCGACATACAACCAGGCGCTCTTGCCGCGGCACATGCCCCATTCATGCAGCGCCAGCATGAGCAATGCTTGGACCCGGGTGAGGTCCGTGACCGCGAGACTGGCGCCGTCGACGCCAGCCAGCCGGCTACGCAACGCCGTCGCATAGAACTCCGAGGCGACAAGAGGATTGGATGGATTTCCGGGGGATGGTGGAGAGTGGAAAGCGACCAGTTGGGGGTGGAAACGGGCCGTGAGGGCGAGAACACCGAGGGGAATAAGCGGATTGGGATCCGGTTTGCTCGCAGGTGGACTTTGCGCAGGATCGCGCGAGTGCTCTGGATGGGTGGACGAATTGGTAGAGGGGGTGGAGAGTTGGCGCGTTTGACCGATGAAGGAGGCAGGATGCAGGAAGGGGAGCATGGTCGCAAAGTGGGACTGGAAGAGATCGAAGACCGCATCCCAGACCTTGGTGGTGAGGATCGCCGAATCGAGCACGTCGAGTGCGGACCGGGCGCCATCCTTTGCGGCAGACGAGGAGATGCCGGGGGCCTTTCGAGACCGTTGTCGCTTAGGGCTATCCCAATCATTGTTCCGTTCCTCGCCCTCCGCCAGCGCAGCCAGGTCTCGCTTGGCCGCACCACCGCCCACCCCGATAGCGGGGGCGGGATATACACATTCTCGACCGGAGGATTCACAGGCGCGGCAGGTGGTATCGATGCCGGCGTTAACACATTTTATCTTGCTTCGACGGCAACGAGCGCAGGCGATACTGGATCGCATTGTGACGACAGAGGCGGGCGCGAGAGACGGGATGCCCGTCTCTCCGGCAGGGTAGGTGGGAAGGAGGTGAAGATCACAGGCGACGAGGTAGAGGAAGGACAAGGAGAGAAGGTGAGGAAGAGGAGGGAGAGGAGGAGGGACAAAGCCGTCCCCGGGACCACTATTGAGACGAGTGGATTGTCCTCACGTCCGCCGTATTTCTCCGGTAGTTTTTCCCCGGGATTCCGAACCAGACTCCAGACGGTCTGGGTCGCAAGGGGCGACAGCGATGACCGGCCGCGGCTGTCGTATTTTTGCCGTCAGTACTCTGTACCACCCCGACTAACAATGAACAGAGAGAGAGGGATTGTGTGTGTATGTGTGTCTATATGTGTGCACGGGGATCCACCCACGGTAGGAACTGACCTTGATTTTGGGGGAAATGCGCTTTGCTGGCGTCGGCTTCTCTTATGCCAGACAGAAAAAAAGAATTCTGGACGACGAAGCAAGGAGGGTAGTGCAGTCACAACACCGACTAGATACCGGGGATGATGTCGGGAGGAGGCAGACACAGGGCGCGCGCGCGGAGTAGCGGTAGTAGTACAGAAGTACTAACTAGTAGATCAGAGAGGATGGATGGGTGGGCGGCGGCAAACGGAAGGCAGAGGGAAAAACGAAAAGAGTGAGGGAGGGAGGGAGATGAGTGGAGCGAAGGGTGGGATAATGAATAAATCGACAGCCGGGAGACGGGAAAATGAAAGCCAGGGAAGCCGAATCGAAGAATGGAGAGAGAGGAAGGAGGAATAATTATTCAACCCACGATGTCACCAATAATGTGCGACGTGGGTAACGGGCAGAGAGAATGGAGTCCAGTCGGGTAAGAGGGTCAGGTTAGAGTGGGGACTGGAGAGATTTGGGGGAAGAAGCAGAGAGAGCAGCAAAGTAGGGATAAAAGCCGCCAGCCGATGGTAGTTATCCACCAGACAGACAGGGTTGGTTGGTTCCGGGAAGAAGTACGAGTAGTGGTAGTAGTAGATATGTATTGGGTGTTGGGGAATGAGTGTGCGTGACAGTGTGAGTGTGTGTTCCTCCAGGCTTTGACTAAAATTCCCCTTGAACGGAATACGCGGAGTGTGGGGGAGGCCGAAGTAGCGTGAGGCCCAGGGTCGGGGCACCGGACCGGCAACGTGAAGTTTGGGGAAAGGTCAATCAGCCCAAAGGATGTGTGTCGGGTGGATTAGGGAAGGGGAGGGATGGGGGATTTTCGGTTGTGGGGAAGAGGAGAGGGGAAGTAATGACGAGAAGAAAAAGAAGAAAAGGAAGAAGAGGGGAAGGAGGAGAGAAAAAGTAGAAGAAGGAAGCAGAGGAAGCTCGTGAAGAAGGAAGAAGATGGGGGAAGGGGAAGAGCCAGAGCCAGAGCCAGAGGAGAATGGTGAGAGCCGCCCGTCGCCTCAGGTTTAGAACAGGATGACTCCGGCCGACGGCGAGACAACAGACCGACTTTGGGGGAAAAAAGAAAAAAAAAAAAAAAAAAAATAGTAAAAAAAGGAAAAATCAGAAAAAGCAAAAAGCAGCCAGCAGAACGGATCGACCCAAACAGGCAAGGCCCATCCGCATTTGCGGAGGCCCGACCCAAGTTAGTCCGGAGCGGGTTAGTGCGGCCTGAGGATGCAAGGACGCGACCGAGCGGCCGGAGAATGGTGGAGCCAGATTCCGACTGCCGAGAGATGGAGTAGTGGAAGAGTAGTGGTTTGGAGAATGTGAGTTGAGAAAGTAGGAGAAAAGAAGAAAAGGTAAGTAGACGGAAGGGTAGTAGTAAATAACACTGCTTACTGGGATGCTGGATGATGGAATTCGATGGGTGGTCAGATGGGAAAAAGGGGGGAGAGAACAAGAGAGAGAGAGAGAGAGGTGTAGAGAGCAACACACAACACCTTCAGTTCCCCCAGGGACATGGAAAAAGTGTAGAAAATAAAAAAAAATGAAATTAATTATTGTTTTGAGAAGAGGCGGCTTCGGGTAAATTACCTTACACGCCATGCCTGACTCCAATACTGGGGTTCCGTCCGGAGAGGCCTGTCCCCGTGGCGCTGATGGGGTCACGCCTGCGTATCCAATCTTACCCAACGCGGATTCTCTCGCTCGGCTGCCAGTTGGCGCGGAGGGCCCGACCGAATGCCATTCGGTTCAAGTGGCTTGTGTTTCCATGCCCATTGCTCCATCCCCGTCATCACTCTTCCACATAATTGGAGACACGGTTGTAAGCAAATTCATGATGACGATAATAATGGTATTATCTACGTGGAGAGAGCTTTATCAATAAAGAACTGGGCATTCATCACTGAAAAATGACTACATACGATGGCTCCGGGTTTACCTTTTCGTACCTGTACCGACCGACCGAGATGCCGGTTACCAGCAGCCGTGTTGTGGAACGTCACTTGACCGCCATCTGCCCATTCCATTACCTAACATGACGGCCCTTGAGTTCGCCCGGTGAGTAATCAGTTAGTAGCTGTGTGTCATGGTCAGACACACTACTTTCCCTAGTATTTTAAAATCAGAATAATAATAAAACAAAAAGGGTCGGTCGAATACAAGTAACCTTCCAGCAAGTGTAGTACCCTCCCCGGATTTATATTAATAGGTCAGATCCCTTATACCTCGCATGGCATGGGAATGGAGTTCGCCCCGTAAACCGTTACAAAATCCGGGGATTGCATGACGCGAGGCCCCAAAACGACAATACCCCCGAATCCGAGAAACCCAACCAGATTGCGGGAGGAGAATGAAAGGGAGGGAGAGAGGAGAATAGGGCTCAGCTCACTACTTGCTTACTCTTGCTGCCCATTCTTCCTTCTGTGGTGAACAAGACACACCAAGTCATCCCACCCACACCTCCTGAACTCTTTTCCCCTTTTCCTTTACTTAATAAACTACTACTACAAAAGCAGACCACCGTACCCCGGAATTTTCAAAAGTCTAACCTCCTAGCCCACAGACCTTGTCCATTCCCTTTGCAGACTAATGAAAGGCCAAGACACCGACCGACCACCTTCCAATTAAACCATCACGACACCAACCCCAGTCAAGCCAAACGGAAGGGTCGAAAATGAGGGGAAAGACACGGACGGCAAATGATTCTAGCCCGATCGTGGGTTGACGAACCTCGGGTATCGACGCATCTGAAAGAAGCGAGGGCCAGGGTACAACGGGGAAGGGAAGAGAAAAGAGCTGCTGGTCCTGCCGGTTCTCGTGAGAGCGTCATCCCTCCCTCACTTTTTCTTTTCCCCCTGCATCGGATCTCCCCGCGGGGGAGAAGCGAGATGAGATCACGATCATCCGCCTGGGCTGGGTCATGGACCTTGGTCTTGCAGGACTTTGCTTCAGCAAAAGTGTCTGCGTCCCGTTTGGGCAAGATTGGCTGGGGCAGGGATACGATTCCCGATCGACACGGCAACTGGCTGCTGACCGACCGTGCTCTCTCTCCGACTGTACAGAGAAGTACTTACCTACAGTATGAATCATGCAGTTCTGAACAGACCTCTCCGATTGATGGGTCGACTACTTCTCTGATGATTTTCGATGGTCTCTCCGTCTACGGGTTATCCTAATTAGTATCTTGCTTACTGGGTTAACCCCCGTTCCCCGTCACCTCACCTCACCTTACCCTACTTCAGTCCCCGTTCGTAGTTCCAACCAAACACCCACAGAACCAAGTAAGCCGACCGATCGGTGACCGCCGGCAAGTCCCCGCGTTGCATTTAACCGGTTGTCCCGTGGCCGCTGAGTCGGGCCAACCGGCGATGCTGATTGGTCTCCACCGCCACCCGAGGCAGAACAAGCGAACCGACCCCGCAATTACCCTCCGGACTCTTGCTTTTCTGGCCAGAGTTCACACCATCTTCCTTTCCATTTTCTCTTCTCTCTTCTCGTTCCAACAAGTCAGCCAAAATATTCCATGACTAAACACTTCTTGGCGGTGCAACGGGTGAGTCGGACATCCCCGGAGCGTTTTCCGACACGCTCACGGCACCAAAATCATCACCGACTTGTTCATCTCTGATGATGATGATGATCATCATCATCATCTTGATCAGACTGTGAGAGCTCCCTCATCCCTGCTTTACTGAATCGAGTAAATTCACCCGCTGTCATCTCCAACTTTCGCATGCGCCTCGTCGGGGTTTCCCATGGGGTAAGGATGAGCTGAGCCTGTCAGCGTCTGCATCTCCTGCAGTGTTGTTGCAACCCCAAGTGTCGATCCTGTCACATTGGGGAGTCCGTGACAATTGTCACATGGACCATCGGGATGTTGGGTAGTATATATTCACCAAACGGGCCGCCGACCCGAGGAACAACAATGCTACTTCACCTCAGGTCCAGGGTCGTAGTTACTACGGGATTCACGCAGGGTGGAGGGACAGCAACAAAGTCCTGTTCTCCCCCACGGACTTGTACCGAGCAACGATGTCATCCATGTGACCCCATGACATCTCGAAACCCTCCAGCGTGCCTTAGTTCGGCGACCCTAAGCCTCTGTGCCCAGCCAAACAAGACCCAAAACCCAAAATGACCACCACGCGAAAGAAGCCGATCCACCGCGCCAAGGACAAGCCAACTCCCGTTGTAGTAATGGCGTCAATCCTACAGGTGGCCCTGTCAGCCCTCCCATTCGCTCATCCGGCGCCACTTATTTCCTTCCCGTCTCAGGATGCCACGCGCTGGCTTGACGCCCGGCTGGGGCTAGTTACGGGAGTAGAGAATAAAATAATCACACTAAAAGAAAAGATTGCCCGAGTCACCTCCGGCCCCGGGGTGGAGTGGGCTGGGCATAAGTCTTTTCCGGGGTTGCTACCAATTGCCTTTTTACCCTTTAGCCATCCCATCCCATCATCTGGCGCGGAGGCGGAGAATTATCCGCCGGACGGCCAGACACTGCTACCGCTGCCAATATTACTTTATTAGTGATAGTAAGTAGTATTAGTACCGGCGAAGTGCTAATAATTTCCACCATTCCGATCGTGTTGGTAAGCAGCAGCAGCAGCAGCTACGATAACTAATGGAGATCCCGTTTTCGTCGCTTGCTTCACCTTATCGTCTTAAACTCAAACTTACTTTTTCCCATCGGGAAACTCACCAACGCCAGCCAGCCAGCCATGTGGAGTAAAAGAAGAAAAAACCAAAGTACCTTTCTTCTCTTACCCCGGGGTTGGTTCCCAACTTCGCACGTGAACCGATACGAACCCTAATCGGGAGGTGTGTGGAGGAGTAAAAGAAAGGCATCGCCACCCATCCAATTCAGAGCAGGCGATGATCTGGCCTCGTCGGCTGTGATGCAGTGGACGTCGGCAAAAGATACGTATCGCCATTCAGCCATGTAGACGACTCACCAAGCCACACCCCAAGTCGTGGAAATGATCTTACTCGGATTTCAGTCAATTGCGTTCATCCCATTTACGAATAAACAAACAAACAAGCACATCATACACATAACATAAACATAAACATAAACATAACTATTGATCCATCGAAATCGGAACTCCCGGATGACAGAACATAATCCCAACCCACCCACCCCCAGCTGTCAGAGATCCATACCCTCCCCCCGCCAGCCCGAAGTCCTCCAGAGTGATCTCCCGAGGTTATCATGGGCGAGCCCGTTTTCTAGCTCCGTCGGGAAAATAGGAGGGTGCTTACTACGTATCTAGGCACCAGCTGAGCTGTCGTGTCGTGTCGTCGCCGATGTGAGATTATCGGGCTAGACTTACATCAGCTGGAGCTTGAGCTTTCGCTCACTTACGGTCGAGGCCCCGGGTTTAGTCTGGTCTGGCCGGGTAGCATCGATTTCATCTCATCGGGTTATCTCCAATATTGGCAGGGAGGTAGACCACGCGGCCCTGTCTCGGGATGTAATGTGTGTGCACGGTAAGACTGGTTCTACGGTAATGGACAGATGTTGTTCGTAGATGGTATTATGAACTACCGGTCAGATCTCGATACTGTGTGAGAGAGAGATGCCATCTGCATATGTATAGCCGAGATGAGCACCTCCCCCGCCGGAGATAGAAACCCCGAGGGAAGGATGAAGACACCCCGAAGGACTAGATACTCGGGAAGTAAACGAGGGAACGGTTGTCACATCTACCTGCTTAGTCTTACTGTGTGTGTGTGTGTAGAAAGTCTAGTCTTCTACTGAAATCTTCCCAACAGGACACATAGGTAGAGAAATCGGACTCCGTATCTGCCCGGGATATGAGTCCCGGGTTCAATTGATTTCCGAGGGTAGTCGGCCTTGTGGGTGGTAGGTTGATCTCTCCATATCTCCGGAATTGTAGCTTTTCATATGGTATAATGCAGTTAGGACTGTCGTAGTTAGTGAGACATGAGGTTCAAGCTCCTTGATCGAATTATTTGATTCTTTTAGCTACTAACATTCTACTTACTCTTCTTGTTCCACTGTGATCGAAGAGGATGCAAGAGGAAGATACATCCGCTGCACGTAAGGAATTGCCGATATCTTATGTTTATTGGTCTGCAGACAACCTCCCGTATCTTGTGAAAGCTTCTTTCAGGATTAATTAAGTAGAGTATTACCATCTTTCTAATAATAACAATTCTCCGCTGCATTCGAAACTGGATGTTACTATCCCGAAGTGCGGATATAGCGGAAATATACCCAATTTGGTAAGCGGGCCGGTTTACTAAAACTGCAGTCATAGCTTTTCATCTCCATGTCCGGTTTTATCATTGATAATGGAGTCGCTGAGTACGTCTTACGAGAAATGAATGCTAATTGTTGAATACTGATTGCGAGACGCAAGTAGCTTGACATGTTTTTCTCCTGGAAATAGAGGTTTGGTACCAGTGAATCTTGTGCTGGAGGAATGCTATAGCAAGATCATGAGTATTGGAGCCACATAAACTATATAGCTGGAATGATACACCAATAGAAGTTATGGGTTGAAAGCTTAGCCCAATAGTGCATTTAGACGTAATCTTTAAATGTCACATACATTTGTATGGATATTGGACACATGATCCGTCTGTAGTTACTACCTACCTTATAGAAACTATCACCCCGGGGTGGTTAGGATATCAGTTAACCGTAAACTACTATATACTGTAGGGATTATATCTTGCAGAGAATTTGAAAGATGTAAACGTTAATGTCATGCTCCATCCATTTTGTGCCATAATGCACCTACATAGCTTCCATTCTCCCTAATTAACCCTATCATCTAATAACCTCAACCTAAACCTAACTATATCTCCCCTCCTTCGAACCGAAAGGAAAGAAATAAATTAGAGCGAAGAAGAACCCCCCTCATACTCAACCGCCCTATTCTTCTTCACCCACACCCTCTCCCCCTCACTCCCAAACGGCGGCGGCACCAACGCATTAATCTTCCACAGCCGTCTATCCGTCTCATCAACATGATACTCGAAATCGTACCCTTTAGCAAGAAGATGAGGCTTCATAACACTATCCAACCGACTCGTTGTGCGTGCATACGCAGCATCAGAGTCCGGCACATGCAGCGCAATATGCGTGATGACTATCCGGACGAAGGGTTTATCGTCGGTAGGGTGTTTGGGTGTGCCTGCGACGTAGACATCGTCGGGTTGTGTCTGAATGAAGTTGACGACGACATAGAAGGCGGGGAGGCCGAGGTCGGTGTAGAATTGGGTGATGTCTTGTGCGAAGGAGTGTTTGGATGATGGGGAGGTGAATGTGGTTGGTGGGTGGTAGATTTGCCAGAGGGGCATTTTGAGATATTATTTTTGGTTGGATTAGCTGTGATGGTAGACAGCTAGTTATTGTCTACGAAGCTGATGCTGGGGTTTGAGTGTATAGATATATCTTGCTTAATGATGCCAAAGCTGAGTGTTGAGTGATATGGTCAGCTTCTCAAAGTTGCGCCATGATTACTGATCTCCCCATGATTAGTGATCGGGCCGATAACAAGGGTAAAGATATCGGTCAAGATTAGAATTTTAGATCTTGGGAAGATAGATAAAGTTGCATGGAACGATCTAGATGAACAATAAGTGACAGCAATATAGCAGAAGGTAAGGGTCCCTGGTACGACTTTGATGGATTTGTCACCCGCTCTTCGGAGTGCTGCGCCATGCCGAAGCTTACTTCCGCAAAAGGCATCCGTGACTCGGGTTATACGAACGCCTCAGGATTTATAAGATTAGTGAACCATCCGGTTGCAGTCAGTCAGATGTTTACACGTCTTTCGTCATCGCCGCTCATGGAGTTACAAAGCATGTGCTGGAATGCTCTTGCTTACTATTACCACTTGCGAGGTATATATTGGAGCTGGACTCCGATAGTAGAAGATGGCCGTTAACTCAGAGAATCACAATCTACTGCAATCATCAAAATGACTACACCTCTTATCTTCGTGACCGGTGCAACCGGCTTCATCGGTTCGCAGGTCGTCGCTACTACACTCAAAGCCGGCTACCGCGTGCGTCTGAGTATCCGCAGAGCAGAGCAGGAAGCTACCTTGAGAGAGCTCCACCCTGGATATGGCGACAAAATCGAAACATGCATTGTTCCCGACATCTCTCAGCGGGAATCGTTCAAGAATGCTTTTAAAGGTGTAGATTATGTTTTCCACCTTGCATCTCCGATCCCCGGTGGAGGAAACGACTTTAAGCAGGACTATGTTGAGCCGGCTGTTAGAGGCACGGAAGCGATCCTGTATGCTGCTTTGGAGTTTCCTCAGATTAAGAAAGTCATTGTCATGTCTTCTGTGCTTGCGCTGGCTCCTGTGACTGCGTTATTCACCAAGGACATTTCGATAAAGGGTAAGTACCGCAACAGATAGGTACCGTGAATGATGGTTAACGCAGATAGACAACACCGGAGAAATTATCCCCGTCGACATGAACATGTCTTTCCCGGAAGATTCTCACGGCCACGCACTCAAATACGCTGCTTCGAAGATCCTTGCGCACCAAGCGACACGCTCATTTTTGAAGAACAACAGTCCTCATTATAACCTGATTACACTCCACCCGACATACGTCCTGGGACCTAGTATGGTTCAGAAGATCCCGGGCGAGCTTAGTGGCATGAACGCGCTCTTCTGGTTGTCGATTATTTCAGGCCAAACTCAAATCGCCAATGCCTGGGTGCATGTTCACGATGTCGCAGATGCACACATCAAAGTGCTGGAGAAAGATGTCCAGAGTGGAACAGAGTTCATTTTATCCAGACCGTCTGTGTCCTGGGAGCATGCGGCGAATTTCATCAAGAAAAAGTATCCAGACGTGGAGTGTAAGCTGGAACCGCCTTTTGAGGGGCATTGGGCGCTGGATACCACTGCTGCTGATCGCATACTGGGTATGAAGTGGAGGTCGGAGGAACAAATCATTAGGGATGTTATTGAGCAGCAGCTGTCATTAAGGGCAGGAGCTCGTAACTAGGGGACTAGGGTTGGGATTAATTCTTCAGGATGCTATGCGAGGAATTTCTGTTTCGAGAAATCAGGGATGGACAGTAATAAGTAATTAATGGCGAGATGGCACTGTTGTAATGCAGAATGAAAGCTTCGGATCGGAAATTAGTAGGGCGATTTGTCAAGTCCGTCAGGAGATATGTGAATTTTAAGTACCTAGTAGAAGAATTTCAGATGCATGCCACGTCAGCACATATGCGGGGCTGTTTCAATCGAGCTTAGCACTACAGTACGGAGATGCATAAATGGAAGCTGTGGTACGGCTAGATATATATTTGCTTTTTACAGGCCAAAATAAACGATCATCCCTCAACACCGCCGACCTCGATTTTCCTTTTTCACGACTTTGCGGTCATGACTACTAGCGCTATCAAGAGCCCTAAAAGCATTCATACTTCTGCTGAAGTTCTTACAAAATGAGCCTTCAATACGACACACTGGATCCTAACCAACGACAAATCCGACTGCTCTCCATTCACCCCTCAATAATCGGAAGGGGTCCGATCCATTGCTCCCTCCACACCGTGTCTCTTGATGATTCCCCAGAGTTCGAAGCCATTTCATATGTTTGGGGAACGGAAGATGCCACCGAGCTTATATTCCTCGATGGCAAGGAATTCTATGTAAAGCCCAACGTCGCCAAGGCTCTATGTCAACTTCGACGTACATCCAAGCGTCGGGATGTATGGGTCGATGCTATTTGCATCAACCAGTGCGATATTGACGAAAAGAACACCCAAGTACCCTTGATGGCCACAATATACACCACGGCGGATTGCGTGGTGGCGATGCTGGGAGATGCCACCCCAGAGATCGAGCTGGCGGTGGCATGGGCAGAGAGATATAGGGAGAAGAGATTGACCAAAGGGGCCTTACACTGGTGGTGGCTCGATATAGCGAGAGTCTTTTCTGATAAGGCTAAAGTCAACAGGGTTTATATGGACTGCGGTACCTTACGAGGCATGATCCAGATCATGACTATGCCTTACTGGTTTCGAATGTGGACGTACCAAGAATATCTGCTGCCAAAGCGCCAGCCACTTGCTGTCTGTGGGAATTTGAAATTCAAAATCTCGACAGTGCTAGAGGGGCACTCTGCATACTTGAAAATATCGGCCGCCAGCCACGGATTCGGGTGGGTTGGCAACTTACCATCTGAGGATGTAGCGTCTCTGAAACGGCTATGGGGTACGACCTGCGATGAGTTTCACGAGGTCTGCAAACACGACGAAGTATGCTTCCTCAGAGGTAATCAGAGGTTTGATTATCGGTATGTTCCAGGGAACCATTTCGAGCGAACAAGTCATCGGAAATGCCAGAATCCCAAGGACAGAATCTATGCCCTCTATGGTGTCATGCCGGACCTCCAGGAGGCTTTTCCTCCAGATTATAACAAAACATTTGAGCAGATTGCGCTGGAAACAACGATTTGGATGATCGGTCAAGAGGAGTCCATGTTTCTCATGCTAGCTCCTTGTGCTGCACCCGATACATGGAGCACTCGGCTACCTTCCTGGGTGCTGGATTATCGCCCAGGCTCCGCACATTTCATAACGTCTTACCGGAACCTTCGTCTATTGAATTCCATGGTATTACCTGAACACTTTCAAAAAGCCAAGCCACCCAACAATGGATTAGAGCATATGATAACTAAGGTATCTGACAATAAATTAATTCTACACCTCCCTGCTAGGCGATTCGCTAAATGCCAGGCTTTGTTGCAATTTTCAACGGATACACGCATGATTGCAAGTCAACTCATTAAGGTCTTTGAGATGATAGAGGAGCTGTGGAAAAATATCGATTGTATCAAAAGCTTGCAACAACATCTTCTCGACACATGGTCCGCTTATCACCTTGGCTCGGGGAATATTTTAGACGTTAAGATACGTGGTATGCTATCGAAGATAGCGGAGCTAGATCTACCAGTTACCGAGGGGGAAATGTGGGAGAGAGAGGGTGTTCCGACGGCTATTTTCGAACGTCTCCAAATTCTTGGAGGCCACTGGCTTTTTCTAGCGCATAATTTCCATCTCTCCCTCTTTGGAATCAGTCGAGAGACAGTGGAAGATGAGGACATTTTCACTATCCCGTATCTCCTGAATCGCCCGCTCATACTTCGCATCAGTGACACCGTGGTTAACAAGGGCGAGAAACCGTACTATAAAGTAGTTGACCAGGCCATCGCGGGCAATGTATACCACCGTTCATTGCGTGAAGCTTTCACACAACAATCTATAGAAGAGTTTCTTGTGATTTGAGTTGAGAGTTTGGAGTCATGTATTTCAGTTTGGAAACCGTTTCATTGTTCGTTAACCCTATCTTGGTACTACTGTAGTCTGACATCACATGGCTAGTGCTGTGAAACCGTTATACCAAGTGCACACTAAAGCATCTTCTATGGAAACCCTGGAGGACAGTATCAGGATAAGAAAGAATTGGATCACAAGAAAAAGTCTTTTGAGTCTCAAGTGACCTTGCAATTCCTAAGCGATGGCGTAGTATTCATGAGAAGTCTATACCTCCTTTAAATCCATGTCCACTGTAATTGAGCGATTCTATTATGCAAGGTTCAGGGCATGGTACAGGCCGGTGTATCGGTATAATCTAGGTGGCTCCACTGAGAGTCTAAACAAGGAAGTTGCCAAAGAACAAGCCAACAACCCTGCCATATCTATGAGTATTATTAGCGTATGCAAGATGCAAGCAAGAACTGAATGGTTTTTGCATATATTAAACCCGCAAACTACTATCGACTAAACCATCATTATGCATGAGCCAGGCTTGATGAAGACCCACTCCGGAGAGTTCGGAAAAGCAAACAAGCCAAAGAAAGCAAAACAAGCCTCGGCTGCCGGCGGATACCCGCACCGCAATGACTTCATGGCCAAGCAGCAATTAATAATGGAGAATCTTCGGGCTAATGTTAAACATACAAAAGTCTCCGACCCATCATTAAAATATAGGTATATACGCGATGACCAACCTAAAAGTCCCCGAACTCTGATATAGTATTTATACCCCCAACTCACCCAAACCGCAACTACCGTAATTCCCGCACATAAACCTCGAAATCCTTGAATTGCACCCCGGATCATGGCCGAATTAACCTCACCCATCCGCATCGGTGACCTCGAGCTACACCACCGAGTAGTAATGGCCCCATTAACCCGCAATCGCGCCGACGCCCAACACGTCCCGCTCCCCATATCCCGCGACTACTATGCACAGCGTGCCTCCGTCCCGGGAACATTAATCATCACCGAGGGCACATTCATCTCCGCCCGCGCCGGCGGCATGGGCCACGTCCCCGGGATCTGGAGCGAAGCTCAAATCGCTCAATGGAAGACCATCACTTCCGCCGTCCACAGCCAAGGAAGCTTCATCTTCTGCCAACTCTGGGCGCTAGGCAGGGCCGCTAAGCCCGACGTCCTCCAGAAAGAAGGCGGATACCGCGTAGTCTCAAGCGGAGACATCCCCATGAGCGAATCCAGTCCCACACCAACCCCATTAACAGAGGAAGAAATATCCGAGTACATCGCCGACTACGTGCGCGCAGCGCAGAACGCCATCGCCGCTGGGTTCGACGGCGTCGAGATCCACGGTGCGAACGGCTACCTCCCCGACCAGTTCACACAATCGGTGAGCAACAACCGCACCGATCAATGGGGTGGTAGCGTCGAGAACCGCTCCAGGTTCGGTCTGGCTATCGCGAAAGCCGTGGCGGATGCTATTGGCCCCCAGAGGACCGGGTATCGCATTAGTCCTTGGAGTACCTTCCAGAGCATGCGCATGTCTGATCCCCGACCGCAGTTTTCGCACCTTGTGCGTGGCCTGGCGCAGTTGAACTTGGCTTACTTGCATGTGGTGAGGCCACGGATTTCGGGGTCAACGACGGTGGAGCATGAGTCTGAAGAGGAGGACGAGTCGTTCCTCTATGAGGCGTTTGGGGACACGGGGGCTATTATCCTCGCGGGCGGGTTTACGGCCCAGACGGCTACTGAGGCCCTCCGGGCGCATCCCGGGTATCGTGTCGCCATTGCCTTTGGGAGACATTTTTTGGCGAATCCGGACTTGCCATTCAGATTGAAAGAGGGATTACCGCTCAATCAGTATGACCGGCCGACGTTTTATACGCCCATGTCACCGAAGGGGTATGTTGATTATCCGTTTAGTGAAGGTTTTAGTCCTTCTCAGGGGAAGTTGTAGCGAGGCTGCAAACGAAGGTGAATAGATGTATCCTCTCGAATTTTCAGCATTGTCAGCATGTTATCTGCACTATACACCTCATTATAACTTTCTCCGCAATACTTTCCGTCAAGCCATAATATAGTCCGGAAGGTGCCAAAAAGTACCCTAAATGTCTAGAAATCGGTGTAGAACAATACTATTGCGGACTTAAGGGAGGTGTGAAATGATCTTATGGGCACAAGCCCAGGAAACGACGGCTGTATGATGTCTAATCGCGGTACCATCAGAGACGGAACTGATTCTGGTACAATATCAGAGGCGATTTGAAAGGAGACAGCCACCATAACTAGAAGATCCTGTCGGTCGGTGTGCATTCGCGCATGAATGAATGACCGAGTACATGAGTCAATGCTGCGTGCATGTTCGATGCATGTGCGGGATTTCAATGTCGCACATACCCATTACCGACTCCTAAAAGAGCAATATATTAAGTTTGCAGGGATGGCCATAGTGACTGGATAAACCAGTCATCCGCATGGTGTTGGTGGAATGAGCGAAAGGGGGTTCAATGCGACAAAATGGATTATAATTTTACCTTTTCCCAAGCAAGAGACCCACTCTCTAACATACAATTATAGACTACCTCCCGCCATTGGGCAAGTATCTTAGCCTTGGCGGTTAGCGCAGCTTCTGAAACTGGGTGAGATGACTCCTTTAAGGCTGTGAGAGATTCTTGGCACCTTCAGTGAGTCATTGCGCTATCTAGTTCATAATGATCGGGGTGCAGATCAGGCTAGCTCGTCTGTTGGAACTGCTCCACAGTAATTCGAGGCTGTATGCAGGGGCCAAACCAGAAAGTTACTTAAGTAGAAATAAAATGAGTATTTTTGGGCCAGTGAAATATGTACTAAGTTCATACATAATTTTATGATTTTTCTTTCTGATACCTGACCGAATTTGGTCTATAATATTATGGCTAGGGATGTTCAAGCGAGACTGGCATACCTCCAATGGCAACCCAGCTACACCCATACACGCCCTTATAAAATTGGTGTATTTGCTGGACGAAGAAAGCGCAACATCGATCGCGAAAAGACGACTAATTTAGTCTTTCATGAGGCTGATCATCCCGAGATTATTCGAGATATTAGAGGACGGACTGAAACTCCTCTGTTCGATCTTGATACCAACGGTTTCGTCTACAAGAGATGCCTCGCACCGACTCTTACAAAGTCTTATGAGTACTCAGATCCTCAGAAGGTCAACGATATCTTCTTGCCAGAATGCGAAGCCATTCTGAAGGAACACGTTAACGGGGCTGCTGAAGTTATGATTTTTGATTGGAAAGTGCGCTGTAACACAATCATCTTATGTGTCAACCACTAAGCTCCTACTTTCGACAGATCAGAAAGAAAAAGAGCGCAAAGGAGAAAAGGACGCGAAACCCGAATTTGCAGGGGTTTGCGCGACAGGTTCATATAGGTAAGCTACAGTACATCAGGCGGTGAGAGTCAGAAAAATGTATGTGCTGACATGATAAGACACACTTCTGACTCGAGATGAGATTGGGACTCCTTTAATGGAGCGTATACGCAATCATCTTCCGGAAGAATCTCAACACCTTCTTTCTGGGCGAGTCCAGCTGATCATGTGAGTTGCTAGGTTATCCTCCTCTCTTGCCAGACCCATCCAGGCGGTTAGATTAGTGATTGCAAGTGTAACTGACATATATTCAGACTCTGGCGACCAATAAGTGGGCCGATCGAGGATAACCCCATTGCAGTATGTGATGGACGAACCTTGGACACATCCAAGTTGATTGAGTCCGATATGATACGCGGGAACTATACCGGCACTATGCTCTATCCACAATATGAGCCAAGCGATGCACATAAATGGTATTATATGAGTGGCCAGGATGTGGAAGATGTGCTTCTGTTCAAAGGGTTTGACACGAAGGAAGATAGTGTGAAATGTGAGTGGTCAATTACCCTGCTCGGCTGTCTTTCAACAGTCCATATTACTGTCAAGCCGGTGGGTTTGGAAAGGCGTCGGGTGTACATTGACTAACGGAACTTGCTGCAGATACTCCTCATACTTCATTCAGTCCTCTGAATACAGTGGAAAGCCCGTGTTCTAGGGTTAGCGTTGAGGTGAGGGCATTGGTGTTTTCGCGCTACCAGATAAGATCCTAACATGAGGGACAAAGGAAGAAGTGTAGGGTAGAACATAGAACACAGATAAGCGAGCATACGAAGCGAGACAATCGAGCATTCCGATGTTCAAAACTATACTTTATGATCTCAAACGTCGCTCGGCATCATACTCGCTTCGTATAACTATTACAGCTCATTTATCAGGCTCCTGGGGGTTTAGAACCAGCTTTTTCGGGCTGCGCCCTTCCAAAACGTCGGTACAAGCCTCCTGGATGCTGTTCAACCCACCAGCTCGCTTTTCCAAAGGTGTGGGGGTCACATTTCCGCCCAGTGCCCCAGGAAGATACTCACGATACCACCATTCCGTAAAATCACCATATTTCTCCTTCTGCGTAATCATGCTGAAGAAATCGTAGATTAAATCGACATTTTGGGCCAGGTTTATTTCTTTACTTTGCGCGCGGACGGATGCAAATCTCCCACCGTTTGGTTGCAGGATGTCGCTTATAGCATTTGCACTATTCGCGTCACCCGAAGCCGTGAAGATATAATCAAAGGGGCCGAGACTCTTTAGTTTAGATACGATCTCATCGTCCTTGTAGTCGAGAACAGTGGAGGCTCCAAGGCCACGAACATAATCGAACTTCCTAGGGGAAGCTGTTGCTATGACTTCGCAACCGACCTAGAAAGCCATGTTAGCTTCCCACCGAATAATTCCATCGAGCTATGTCGTGCTCACACTGGCCGCATATTGAACAGCGTAGCCCCCCACAGATCCACTACCACTCCATATAAGTGCTTTCCCCTTGCTATTTGTTCCAAGCTTCCCCATACCCAGGTGCAAGTGCAACGCAGAAACAGCTGTTAAAAGTGCAAAAGGTATTGCAGCGGCATCCTCAAAAGTCGTGCTTGCT